GCAACCGGACTAGCTAGTGAGGGATCCCCGTGTCAGTCAAGAATTTTAGTGGAGATTTGAGCTTTAAGAGTACAGTTTCAAGAGTTAAGATTTTTAATAGTGGAAGTACAAAACAACTTCTACTAAGTTAAGTAAAGTGATCAAGTATTAATAAGATGTTAAACGTAAGAGCGTAGACTGACCCCATCTCACTCACTAGTTTGAAGAGCTAGAGGAGCTGGAGAGAAGCTGGAGGAGCAGTTAGTGAGCAGCGAGTTCAAGGGCAGCCAGTTAGAGGAGAGCAGTATAATCTTCACAGAGGATGCTTAGTCAAGGTTTTTAGTAGCAACAACATTAGAGATTATTAGTTATTTACATTTATGATTATGAGTATAGACTGGAGATCATTTTGAGATTTTAAGTATTGAGTTTGCCCATGTGTTAGGGCTTTGCTTTGAACTACAAGTGCATGTTTTCTGTATTTTATTTAGTAAAATTTTTCCAGCTGCAATTTAAGATTTGAGTATTTTATTTATTAATGCATTTTACTTTTTTGCTTTCCATACGTCGAATGCCCGTGGTAGGTCCGAGTAGTTACTATTTTACGACCTGTGGATTTCGACACTAGGTCATCACTAGGGGTGTCCTCTTCCAAAAATTAAATTAAATTAAAAATTAATTAAATAATTCATAAATCAGAAAATATCCGAGTAGTACATATTTTAACAAAAGATCAGGACATATTTTCATATTTGGAAAAAAAATATAAAATAGACTCAATATCTACATTGTTCAACAAATCTTTATATCCTACTAGACAATAATGCACGAACTGATCGCATATTCGATTTCTAACCTTGTTCTTGATGTAACTCAAAGTAGAAAGACTCTTTTAACTATTGTCCTCCCCAAAAGGCCTCGTACTAATTGTGCTAGGTGGACTCTAATATACAAGGGTCCCTTCCCTTGTATTATCGATGTGGTACTTGGATTGTCCCAACAAGGAGGGAAAGAAACATACTTGTTAATTATTTGTGTGGATTGTGAAGAATAGCATAAGTAAAGTGGTGGGGTATGTTGTCGTGGAAAGTGTAGCTAGGTGGTTTAATTAGCAGGGGGATTGATACATGGACATGTACTAAAATGAAAGTGAAGTGTTAAGCATGGACGAATGGGGATTTGTGAAAATTACTGGGGAGAAGGATTGTACAAATTGCTTAGCAACTAACTCATTTAAATTGACTTAGATGCATGGTAGTATGAGAGAGCGATTGTTGCACCTTAGCCAATGAGTTCGAATGTCGGGTGGTCTATGAAGTTCGTTGGTAAATCAAGCCCATCGGGTTGAACATTAAAGTGAGTGTAAAGGGGGTAAATTCTATATTACGTATTCTTTCAAGTATTAGAGTTTTCAGTGTTTTTGTGAAGTGTTGCTATGGTTGTTTATGCTCATGATTGATGATATGTGCTTGTTTGAGTTGTGGTTTATAATGAATGTGTGATGTTTGCTTTAAAGCTTTATGTTTATGAGTGATTGTTAAAGTAAAGAACAAGTCCTTTTGTTTTAAGAAGTACTTCACCTTCAAGAAGGTGAAGTCGTTATAAGTGTTTTTAGTCGCTAGCGCCAGTCCGTTGACATTTGAGATTTTGAGACAGAGCAGCAGTTATGCTCTTGAGATATTTAAGTTGAGCAGCAGTTATGCTCTTGAGAATCGTGGAAGAAGAGCCTTCCACGATAAGTTTAAGTTTAAGGAAAGCCTTGATGACTTCTCATACGTATGAGTTGGCAACCGGACTAGCTAGTGAGGGATCCCCGTGTCAGTCAAGAATTTTAGTGGAGATTTGAGCTTTAAGAGTACAGTTTCAAGAGTTAAGATTTTTAATAGTGGAAGTACAAAACAACTTCTACTAAGTTAAGTAAAGTGATCAAGTATTAATAAGATGTTAAACGTAAGAGCGTAGACTGACCCCATCTCACTCACTAGTTTGAAGAGCTAGAGGAGCTGGAGAGAAGCTGGAGGAGCAGTTAGTGAGCAGCGAGTTCAAGGGCAGCCAGTTAGAGGAGAGCAGTATAATCTTCACAGAGGATGCTTAGTCAAGGTTTTTAGTAGCAACAACATTAGAGATTATTAGTTATTTACATTTATGATTATGAGTATAGACTGGAGATCATTTTGAGATTTTAAGTATTGAGTTTGCCCATGTGTTAGGGCTTTGCTTTGAACTACAAGTGCATGTTTTCTGTATTTTATTTAGTAAAATTTTTCCAGCTGCAATTTAAGATTTGAGTATTTTATTTATTAATGCATTTTACTTTTTTGCTTTCCATACGTCGAATGCCCGTGGTAGGTCCGAGTAGTTACTATTTTACGACCTGTGGATTTCGACACTAGGTCATCACTAGGGGTGTCCTCTTCCAAAAATTAAATTAAATTAAAAATTAATTAAATAATTCATAAATCAGAAAATATCCGAGTAGTACATATTTTAACAAAAGATCAGGACATATTTTCATATTTGGAAAAAAAATATAAAATAGACTCAATATCTACATTGTTCAACAAATCTTTATATCCTACTAGACAATAATGCACGAACTGATCGCATATTCGATTTCTAACCTTGTTCTTGATGTAACTCAAAGTAGAAAGACTCTTTTAACTATTGTCGTGTATCCATGAAATCAATTCAAATTAAGGATAACCCGTAATTAGTTTAATTGTTAGGTTTTGAAAATAATTGGGGATAAGGAATAATGTTTTTACTATTTTATAGTGTTTAAAATAGAACAAGAAACGAGTTGAAACCTAGAGAATATGTTTAATAATAGTAGTGTTCTAGGTTTGAATAATACAAAGTACCACTTATATTTTTTTAATCATACACAAATTACTACCGAGATTAGGATAATCGTTTTTTTAAAATTTAAGGGTGTCCCGGATTACAGATTATAATTTTTTTATCCATACGAAACTATTATTTGAGGTTGGATAATCGTTATCCCAAATTTTAGGGGTGTCCCGGGACACCCCTAATGATCCATGTATCCGCCACTGTAGGTCATCCTAGTATTTTTTATCACTTGCATGAACTACACCGTCAATTGCCATCTTGTATGCAATCAAGTAGAACGAGGATTCATAAAAGTGCAGTATGTAGCTATTTTCTAGAATCTCCTATTCAACCTATCCATTCATTTCACTAGCTTTTTGTCCGACCCGTTGGTCGGAATGTCATTTGAACACAATGTATTTATGATGTGTATTTAAATTTTTTAAATTAATTGAAATGTTGAATTTCGTATGACATCAAGGTGACATCGAAATTATTTTTCCATTTCTGAAATTCTTATAACTTTTCATTAGTGTTGAACATTGTAATCTTAATGATTATAACCAAAGTTGTCAAACTAGTTTAAGTCGTTAAGCCGGTCAAGCAAGTGGTTTGAAGTTTAATAGTTTGATTGAGATCCAATCTGTTTGAGCCGTTTTACATCCTTTCTAAATATATTTACATATAAGATAGAAATTTAGTGACTGAAATAGAATGTACTAACTTATATCTATTAAAAACTCAAATAGTCAAATTCCATTAAAAAAAGACATGCATATCTCAATATCCATCCACCATCCCTTGCCTCCCCCCCTCCCCCTTGCCTCTCTCTTCTTCTCCCTCTCTAACGATCAGATCCTTGATTTTGTAGAGCCAGTTTTGAAGCACGACTTTGGTTGGACCTAGTTCAACCAGTCGCCCAATAGAGGAGTCACAACCTTGATTATAACACTTGTGAATAACCATTCATAACTTCTCTATTTAATGACGTAGTCACTTAGTTGCCTATGGTTGAAAAGAAAATTGACATAGCGAAAAAAGAGTTTTTCTGAAAAAGCGTAGCATAAATAAGAAACTCATAATGATAACCTTTAGTCAATATTTATTTCTTTTGCTTAAGAAACAATACATATATAGCAATATCTAAACCTTAAAGTATTCTGCACAATACAATAACAAAATTAGTAAGAAAATAATATTTTCCATCCATACTCTATGGAATAAAAAAAATTATTTATCAACCAAGATACTCTAAATTTAGTTGAATGACAATCTTATTCTCAACAACAACAAAAATTAAACATATCTTGTGTTACCTACCTTGCTAATGCACATGACCCCATCAACGCGTCCATGAAAACTCCAACCTCACTTTCATGATTTTTCTTGTATTGCGTTATTTCACATTAAACTAAGTAAATATGAATGATACATCTAGTCAATTACCCTATTGAAATCTTCTATAAAAATTGGTATTCATAAATTGTGTTCTTTTAAACTCACCCATTTTTCCAATCATGCCATATTATCAAGAAATTTAGGATTTAACGATTAACCAAACTAAAACTTTCAAAAAACTTGTCACTTACAGTTTGCATAACAATATCGTTGCTTTAATAGTTCTAAAAATTAATACAAATTTAAGAATTCTACATCACATCTAAACATTCAATACTGCAATTCAATATGCAATATTCTAATCAATGATATTTGGGTTGTAATTTTAAAATTATTCTCCTTTTATAGGAGGACATAAGTTAACTTTACTATTAAACTCAAATTAAAATAATCAAAATATGAAAATTAAAATATCAAATAACAAAGAAAGTACTTTCGGGAGAGTTAGTGGCTAGCTAACAATAGTGAAAAAGTCATATAATTTTTACTTTTTAGATTTTAGTTTTTCAGATTTTGTATTTAAAAATATACAAAATATTTCTTTAGTGTAACTGGTAATGGTTGTTGTCCTCGTTTGGAAAGATCTTGGTTTGAATCCCGAGATTGATGTTTTTTTGTCTTATGAATGAAAAATAAATAATTATTGTGAAGACACAATTACCCTTCCTACTTTTGTTCTGATTGCAAAATATTTGAAATGCCAAAAAACTGCCTTGTAGAACATGATGAGCTTGCGAGCAAAACAATTGGTTTCCTTGGTAGATAGGTTTGCTTCAACCCGGTTAGGTAAGATTAGAAATTAAACCTTATTTAGTTAGTTGATTAGAGTATAAATTTGAGTCCTTTCTCTGATCCGTTCATCTTCAACCTCTTTGTACCAAGACAACCTCTACTTCCAGTTAGTTAGGAACTCAACACCTTTGCCAAACAAACAGTGCTGGTCTCGGCATCATCCACAGAAAAGGGAAAATACTGCGAGAAACAGGCATACCATACAAATATCATATTATGTACACATTGCATGGCTTCTTCCAACCTCAACTCACAGTCGTCAATATTTACAAACGTGGCCACAACCTTCTGTTCTTATCTGTCAAAGGTGGGCCTGAGGACAGAGGCCCAAGAGCGAACGAAAACACAATAAAAATATTCACATTTCTTGTTTGCACATCCAGCTCCTCCTCTGAATCTGATGGTCAAATGTAAGGATTGATGTGGGAAGAGTAGTCCCTGATCCCGGCTCCTTCCCACCCCATCCATTCCTCCCACATGTCCCACTCTGGATCCGCCATCGCCTCATCTCCTTCTCCTTCTTCATCTGCCGCCTCATACGACCCATACCCTACCACCGCCGCCGCTTCCTCCCTCAAATTCCTTATCGCAATCTGCATTCCAAACCACAATCATAAGAACCCTATTCTTTTCCTTTCCAAAATCGTACATGTAATGGCGAGTTGCACATGCACGAGACACACCATTGGGGCTCACTGAATGACATAAGAGATGATGGAATATAGTCCAAACTAATAAATGGACAAACTATTGGCTTTAGTTGCTTCTTCCTTTTACAAGCAAGTGTGTTTGGTGATTGATGCCAACATCATAACCGCACCCCCAAAGTTCTATGACATGTGCCCTTACACCGTCAAGTAATCTATATTTACACGTCGATAAATAATGTTGAGACATACATCCATCGAGGAAGAACATCCATCGAGGAAGATCTCGGCTAGCACAATCCAACGAACGATGTTAGCACATGCTGACGAACTGCCTGCCAGAGACTCAGGGTGGTAGCTAAAAATCGGAATACTTGCACGAATTATTTTAACTCTAATGATTGAGATGCCTACCCACTACCCAATTAAGACATCTAACGATTCCTGAAACTGGCCCCGCAAATTCATCAGAGTGTTCAGTCCCCTGTTTTGAACTACCCGTACGCATACGCATACGCATCCTCAAGGTTTTCTATATATGCTTCTTCCACTAATTCCTACTCTTGAGGCCTAATCAGATTTTAAGCAGTTAATTAAATGCAAGAGAAAGGCGTGCAGGAATTGGGGCTTACATCGTACGCTTCATTGATTTGGCTGAACTGAACACCACAATTGCTCCCTCTGCACACATCTGGATGATACTGTTGTAGAAAAAAAAACAACAACCATCATAGGATCGGAGATTAGAAGACTGAATCTGCGACCAGATCTCACGAATGAACCAACAGAGAGTGAAAAGAAGGGGGGAAAAAGAAAAGGTTAGATACCTGGAGAGCGAGCTGGCGGAAGGCCTTTTTGACCTCGGATTCGGAGGCTCCAGGCTGGATCCTCAACGTCTTGTAAGGATCCATCACCGAATAGGAAGATGAGGCCATACAGAACATCCGCGACGAGTTTCGATTCCTTCCGGCGACGGTACTATTCCTCGCCTTTCTCCGGCTCCGGAACCAGGAGGTCGATGAAGATCCGCCGCACCCGCCCCCTCCGATCATCCCAACAGCGGCAGCTGCGCTAGCCATACTTTCTCCTTGATTAGACACAAGAGCGAATCGGAACCAGTGGGCAGAAATGAAGAGAAAGGATTGGAAACTGGATATTGTTCTTTGGATTGAATAAAGGGATGGAAATATTTTTCTTCCTAATTTCTTGTGGATAATGCGAGGAGAAGAAAAAGGGGATGTTAAGATCTGAAGGCGCTTTGGAGAACTGTATATTTATAACCATTGAATTTTGAGGGCGGAAAACGGGAAAGAAAGAAAAGGGGGAAATAATTAAAAAAAAAATAGTCCTTATCCAAAAGTCACCGTCCCAAGTGGGGATGACGTGTTAACACCGTTATGGATGGGGATAAGAACGTGAAGGTGGTCTTCCTCTTCTGCAGTTCTGCTGCTTCTGGGTCCTCCGTGTCAGAAAGGTTTATGATTAAAATTTCAAAACTGAAACCGACTTTTTCGCTTTGTTTTGTTTTGCGGGGCAGGCAGGTTTCTTAGGAGCGGTTACGGTGCTAATTGTAAGATAGTTAGCACCATCCTAACCAAGGGAAAAACTATTACTAGTTTGAATTAATAGTGATTTAGCTTAGATGTTGTATTGATTTTATAATAATCCGTCTACTAGTTTGAATTAGTAGTGATTTAGCTTAGATGTTGTATTGATTTTATAATAATTCGTAGTGATTTCGTTATTTTTAGTAGCATTTTTTGCTAGTTATTACGGTGCTAACCCCATCTCAGGTTTCTTCAATTCATGCTTTAATAGACAAAAAAAACAATTTGTTTTTACTGTTTTGCTATTATTTACTCTTTCTGGGTAGGGGTCTAGAGGAGAATATTGCTCATTGTCAAGGTTGTTAACATGGTTTGGTCCGAAAAATTAAGTGGGCTAAGAGTTAATGTTTTGATCGGTTTTGTCTGGTTTAACAAATGAGTTGGCGATTAACTATAGGAATGTGTTAGGGTGGAAACTGAATTTTTAGTAGCCACCGTGGCTACATCAGTATCCACCATTTATTTTTTTCTCTTTACTCTTTTTTTAATCTTACGGTTAAGATTGCCTCAGGATAATTTTGGAAGAAAAAAAAGGATCTTACTTGATTATTCTATATATTCTACCCTAACCCTACTTCTACAGCCAAACCCGCCGTAGCCGCAAGCTCTCACCCTCCACGACGATGGCTTAGGGTTTGCTTGTCCGACAACTCCTTTCGCGCCTCTTTCTCTGGTCACGGGCGAGTCACCAGTCGGATGGGTGGCGATCCGAGCACCATCGCGCTCATGGAAGACCTTCTCCTCTCGCCTTTCGGCTTGCTAACACTAGCAGCAGCGGAGCTTTCTTCCTCCATATTGTTGTTGCTACTACTAATCTCCTTCCCGACTCCATTTCCGATCTGATTTTCCACAACACCAACTTGCTGCTGCAGATTGTGACGGCGAGACTCTCCCGCTCCTCCACTACCTCCACCGCCGGTCGGCCTCTTGCCGCTCAGCTCTTTCCCAAAAACGCAACCCATGCTTCATTCAAATCACATTCCAAACCTGAAAACGACCCATGCCTAGGGTTGTCGTGCAGACCTCCAGCAATCTTTAAGGATTGGTATGTTTTTTTTAAATGGTAGTCATTTTTTTCCGTAGTGATTTTTTTTTAAATGGTAGTCATTTTTCCCCGTAGTGGTAGTGTTATTGTCGTATTGGAATTGTTATTGTCGTATTGGTATTGTTTTTGTCGCATTGGTATTATTTTTGTCGCATTGGTATTGATTTTGTCGCATTGGTATTGATTTTGTTACATTGATATTGATTTTGTGGCATTGGTAGTGATTAAATCTGCAATGGTATTGATGTTTTGTGAAATGGTAGTGTTTTTATTTCTTGAATGGTATTGATGTTTTGTACAATGGTAGTATTTTTTTTAATGGATTGGTATTGATTTATTGTTTTGTTGTTGCAGCGGTATTAGTTTGGATGAACGAAATCAAGGAAAGATTGAGAAAAAGAAGGAAGAGAGATCTGGCTGAAAAATTGTGGAAGTGAGAGAAAGAGAGAGAGAAAAATTGTATTTAATATATTTATGTAATTTCCTAAAATGTAATTTATTAAAAAAGATCATTAATAAATTTTTTGTTATACCCAATTTACCCTTAGTAACCACGGTGATTACTATAAAATAGTAATCACCGTAACTTGTCCCTTAACCGTAAACCAATAATAACATGTGGAATTTTTCTTTTTATTATTTGAAAATTTTGTAGGTTTCCTTTCTAATACTAAAATATATCATACAAATAATTCAAAATAATTTACCATAAAATAATAATTATTAGAAATAACATCATTACAATACAACATCTACTGTGAATTAATAATCCAAATTCGTATTTAAAAATATATAATTACAAATAATCAAAAGTATTCATCCAATTAGCAAGTACCAACTAGCAAGACATCAAATACAAGCAACACAAGACTATCATTATCAACAAACATCAATTAAACAAAGAATATCAGAATATGAGGTTCGCTTTGTCGATTGCAATTTGTAAAGGAGAGTTAGAGATGGAAGACTTTCGTGTTCTGACTTTTAAACATATTTGAAATTTTGGGATGACGGTTGTTTGCATCAGGTGTAAATTGGATGTGTGAATTGCTACTTGGGTTGGTTTTGAATATTGAGACTTTTCCATTTAGCAAAAGTTCAAAACTATGTAGTTACACTAGTAAGTGGTTATCGATTAGTCAATTAGTCATTAACCACTAAATAAAATACACTAATCAAAATCGAACAACTAAAATTTTATTGATTATCAATTAACCACTAACTATTATTGTCGATTCGATTGTCGGTTAAAACAGATAACCGACTAACCATTTACCACCCAAATAAAAGGAAGGCAGGAAACTTAGCATATAAACACCGCTTAAATTCCTCATAATGTACTAATGTTTCTTGTTTGAGCCAAGACACTCTTGATCTCCTCTCCCGAGACGGGTCGATCCAACTCGCAATACAGGCGCCAAGATCCTGCAAAGACAAGCGCCTAAAGGGCTCTGGGTGGCCCGTTAGCCCTCCGACGCTTAAGTTAGTGTCGAGTCTAGGGAGATAAGTGCTTTTTCAGGTTTTAGTGAGAGAAGCCAACCTGCGTAAATGCCACCTACCGAGTACTATCTATACTTGTCGATGTCGCGACCAAGCTCCTGGAATTCAGCTCCACGTTAGCAGGTCATTAAATGCTTGGTGCGACCCACCTGCCAGGCGCCCACACGTGACAGCTCCTGGATCGCTCTGCCTGGGTGGCTAGCAGGGACCACGCCACCAGGTGGCAGCCTCTCAACCTCCTGGTTCCGTACCTATCGGTCCCCTACTCACTTTTGTCGTCAAGCGCCCATCCTTCCTTATACGGGCCTTACTCTTAGCTTGGGCTTAAACCCCCAAGCTCACGCACGGGATTGGGCCCAAACAACTTCATGTCCCCCAGTGGTCCACCTATGTCTACCCAACACTTTCCAATAGGCTTGGGCCCAACCAACCCATGTTCCCTAGTGGTCCATCTACTTTACCCAACATTTCTTCTTCGTTTTAAATGTGTGAACCTTTTTCTTTCTAAATTTTAATGACAATCATTGTTCTATGTGAATCTTCGAATGATAGTTTTTTTATAGAAATTTTACAATGCTATATAGTATTGGTGCTATAGGGTTTTGTCTTTATGGTACAACTTAAAATTGTACATTTACGTTATGGTACAACTTCAAATTGTACCTATACTTTTTGTACAAATTTGTTTATGGTACAACTTCAAATTGTACATTTATGTGATGGTACAACTTCAAGTTGTAAAGTTGTACCATAACATAATGGTACAAATTGCTTTATGGTACAACCTAAACTTATACAATTAATGTTAGGGTAAATACAATTTAATATCCAAACCTTTCATTTTAAACAATATAATAGCCAAACCTTTTCGAAAACAATCTAATATCCAAATCGTCAACTTTCCGTTCGTTTGACCGTTAGTTGTCACTTACAAAAAGTTCGAAGTACGACGCTTCATCAATATCCATCGATATCTTCTCTAAAAAACCACCAACATATCGTGGTTCCAAACCCAAGAAGACCATGAATCCACAATGATGGTATAGAATATCTAAATATTCAGTCATCTGCAATGCCAAAACAAGAAAACAAAGTTGTATTGTGACAATTTCCCCTAAACAAAGCATTTTGAAGTGTCAACCAACAGTCAAACGGACGGAAAGTTGACAATTTGGATATTAGATTGTTTTCGTAAAGGTTTGGCTATTATATTGTTTAAAATTAAAAGTTTGGATATTAAATTGTATTTACCCTTAATGTTATGGTACAACTTTAAGTTGTACCTTAAAGCATCAATACTATATAGCATAGTATAAACAGTGGCGGACCCAGGATTGTTGGAGAGGGGTGTCGCCGATAAAATTTAAAAATTAAATTAAAAATTGAATTAAAAATTATTAGAAATTAATTTATAAAGTTCACAGTGTCATGTTTATAACAAATCAAAATGACTGTGGATTTTTTTAATAGCAATTGATATGATTATGAGTTATTTTAAACAAATTAAAAATGAATTTTGTTAATTAGAATTTAAGATTGATTCATTTAAATAATAAAAATTTTCCACTCTAATGTAAGTGTGTTGGCTATAATTATCGAAGGATTGTCGGAAGTCGAGAACTTAAAATTTTTGTACCGAATATATATAGGTCCTTCACAAAATTCTTGGACGATGGTGTGTCAGGACGAAACACTGAGTATAAGTGCTCAGGATGTAGTTTATAATTATTTGCTTTTGAATGAGTTAACTTTGTTGTCAATACGGGTATATCCAAGTTACAGCGTTTTGTTGATTGACTTTCATGAAAGGAATTGGCAGCTCAATAATTAGACCACTCATTATTTTAATTCTGCTTTCGTTTTGGATCCCATACTTTATTAGTTTATTTGGTAGCAAAGAATTTCTACCCTTCACATACAATAGAATATTTAGAAGCTCACTTTGATTCCCATCTTGGATGCCCATTAATTATTATGATTATGTACGTGTCCACATGAGCAATTTCCATTGTTTTTATGATATCCAACTTAAAAAATATAATTTTTTTAGGATCCAATGGAATTATAGTTTATAAATTATTATACAACATTAGACAAGTTGTATGTAACTGTAGCCGGTAGGTAGGGTACAAGGCCTCCTGATTGCTGAGTCACATTACATAACTACTCTAGGATGGGTCCATTATCATATTTTGAAAATTGTCGTCAGTGGTGTTGGTTTGGTAGTGATTAAGGGCTCCTTAATAATTGCTGAGTTAAATTTATTATTATTATTATTATTATTAATTTTACTAGCTTGACCCGGCTCATTGGCTTCGCAGAGGGTCCAGAAATTAAGGATACTATTCTTAATTTCTTATCTTGAATAAGGTCTTAACTTCATATTATTATTGATACGAAAAGAATGAGTCTGTGTTTTCTTGTTGATCAAGTTTGTCCTAAATGGCTCTGGCTCGTATTTAGGATTCACACTGCATCAGGAATTGAAGAAGATGAGCTTAGAACACTTTCCTCCGTTCTCCGTAAACTTATTTGGAAAGTAAATCGACAGTTAGAAATATTTTGTTCAGTCTGCAGTTGTTAGGCACCATTAAAATAACTCAAAATGCTATGCTTGTCCCACTAGACCGTATTACTGATGGAATAAGCAACAAGCTAAGGTCGAGTATCTGATATGGTTATCTAAGTTGCCTGAACTGCCGGTGATTTCTTCCATATAACTTGCTACCACAGCCCAGCAGTGACCGCTAACTGTTCCAGCATATTCTTCGAGCAATAACAATGAACGACTGATATTATAGAGGAAGTTTTGGAGAAGAGAATTGATTTGTATAGGCTAGCTGTTCAAAAGAGGAAATGTTACCCAAATTTACAGTCGAAATTTGCTTTGACCTTTACATATATGATCACTTCCGTTGACGGGAAATATTACATTTTACAAAGTTGTACTGGCAGCTGGAGTCTCTTTTCCTCGTTTTTTCAGTGAACTGCAACCGCAGTACCAACTCCAGGGGGGGAAAACCACGACCCTTCCAAATCCAACAATAAGCAAGACCGCTGTGACGCATGGATCTCCATTCTCCATAGAAACAACTCTGCCAATCTCGAGTCTTCGATTACTTGGTCAACCAATAAACGAAAATAAGGAAAGTGCATACTGATGCAACCAGAGAAAGTATGATGGTGTCCATGGACTTCTTTCTCTTTATTGATGCAAGAATGTTATTTACCTGCACCCAATCATCAATAATAAACACCCATAAACATACAATACTGACTTGTTACGAGCAAGAACAGGACTGCTGTATGGGGTTAACCTAGACAATGAAGAACTGCATACCGTTGGGAGTCGGCTGCTAACGTTAGTGAGCTTTGAATTGATTCCTCCAAAAGTTGAACGTTGGAAAACAAGGGTAC